TGACGGGAGCCAATCAGGAGGGCCTCGGCTTTGTTGATGTTCAACTGAAAGTTAGCTCTTGTCCAGGATAGTATACAGTAGTCAATAGTTATTATGTTTTCTAAATAAAGCAACCATTAAAAGGGTCATTAATTATAGTCCTTAAAAACGTGTATGTTGTTCAGTAGTCAAATTAGAATTTGCACTTAATTTCAGATTCGCTTTTTATAAATTGTTCTCAGGATGTGAACAGTTTGTAGTCTTCTAAAAAATAAATTGTGCCCCTACAATGCATGTACACCATTTAACCATACAGTGGCACTGTTGCTAATGAATTTAAATTCAGTTGGTTAAAGGCAGCTACATATATTGTGACTGTATTAGTCAGAAACTTTGATGTTTGCATCAAATATGTACAGTATATAATACTAATCCTTGCATTTGATATAGTGCTTTTCACGTCTTCTAGACGTCTCAAAGCGCTTCGCAAAATATATTGTAAACTGTATATTTGTGGGCGAAATACAGCAGCCAATTGCGCACAGCAGGATCCCCCAAGCAGTTGTGGATTGAAGTGACCAATTTATTATTGTTTTTTTTTCTTGAGGGATTATTAACAGGTGTGTGGAGTAAGGAAACTTGCCCAAGGTGTCACCCTGCTGGGAACTGAACCCAGGTCTCTCGCTTGTGAGGCAAGTGCTCTAACCACTCCATATACAATTGAATATATCAATTTATCAATTATTTGTGTAATGTTTAGTTCTTAAATTCATCCATGAGTAAAATTGCTGCTTGCTGGACTGTTCAGACCGAAAAGTTACAAGTTCAAATCTCGGGTTAATGCTGAGTTAACTGATCTCATCCAGGGAAGCAGATGGACACTACAATTGGCATCAGCACATTAGCTTAGGACTAGGATAGGGAAATGGAAATTCATAAGGGTTCCTGTTCTTGATAGTTGTGGTCAAAAGACTCCAGCTAGGATTCTTGGGTGTGTACAGGATTGGATTCCGCTATGATGTTTCCTGTAGTATGTTCATAATGATTTCCCTTGCAATGGAATATTGTAATTAGGTCAATCCTTTGTGGCTGTCTCTGTAGTCCAGTTCCTGAGCCAAACAGGTCGACAATACTTCAAGACACTATTGATGACAGGAGCCTGGATTGTTAGCAGATCTTGGAGAGGCAGAGCAGTCACTGGAATTCTTCCCATTTGGTACCTGTGAACCCTGCAAGCCAATGCCTGAACAAGTCTGCTTTGGTTAATCTTTAAGTGTGGCAATCTGGCACATGATTTCTGCATGTGCGGCTAATATAGCTGAACTAAAAAAATTGCCACTTGGTGAGATATGGAAAGCCTCTGAATCGTATCTCTAGAAGGGGAAGAAAATGAGACAAATACTTGGAGGTGAGTGGAGAAAGTTAGAGATAAGTTTTTCAGTTCTTAGCAGGACTGATATATTTTGCCATGTATCTGAGATAACAAAAAGGCAAGGGGGAGAAAAAAATACATCTTTTAACTGATGTTCTTAGAATTCACTGCCAGCTGATTGGTCATTGAGTTTTACTGACATAGGTTATGGAGAAGTCTATGATCAAGAGCCTGCTGGGGTCTGTGTTCAAGAACGCTCCTTGCTAAGGACAAATCTGTGATGATGAGCATTCCACCAAGAAAGGAAACATTTTCAATATGCAACAGAACTCCAATCGAGCATGACTTGCTGTATTACATTCCACAGCAAACGGTACCAATACGTGGAAACAGTCTTGCAGAAATGCAGTTCTGGAGCCAATTGTCAGTAGTTTCACAACCACTAAATGTGACCCATGAAATTTGTTAAAATTTATGGATAAATAATTGAAATTTTGTAGTTTACACCAGTGGAATCCATCACTATGAAACATCCACCTCAATGATGGCACGAGTCAAAGTGCAACATGTAGTCCCACACAGAATCAAAATGTTGTTCATCTAAACATTAATTTTTCCATCATCCTGTATTCCCTTCAATAATTTTCATTCCCTTCTCCTGAAATGAAATTCTTTCGACTATGTATTTTATTTTCAGTCTGCCCATCATTTGGCAAAAATGTTCTGTAAGTAAGTCTGTATATGAGAAACCCTGTAGCTATAGTTCTTGAGATTATTTTTAGTCAGAGGGTACCTGATAAATGCAGAAGATGAAATCCATGGAACCTTTAAGAACATGAAAACAAAGGAACAGCAAAACATCATTCAATACATCAAACCAGGTCCTTCCACAGACCACAAAAAGCTTCTTCTAATACGGACTTTGCTCTCTATGTCAGCGGGATACAAGTTAAAATAAGTAATAGGTCTCTGTTGGGTAATAGGTCCTTGCATTTGATATTGTGCCTTTCGTACATAAAGTGGTTCACAGGATTTACTGGAATGATTGTTTTGAAGGTGAATTGCCTCTGAGCTGCTCTTTGTTGTCTCAGGTGATCCAAGTAAGAATGGTATTTTACAATAAGAATCGAACAGTATAACTGTAATAAACAAAACTAATGATGTGAGTAACATCCAATTACTTTCAAGAAATAATTTTAATATGAATATTAATACAATGCAATCAATACAACACACACATATTTGGAGTTTAAATGTTCCTACTGAAGTGAAATAGCATTTTATAAAACATTGGAGAATATATCGTCATGCCGGCTCAAGTACTCAGAATTAGGTAATATAAGAAATAAGTATCAATAAAACACATCTCTTTCATCTGAAATTTTGCAAAATGTTCAGATGAAACCACCAAAGTTAAATACTCAATAAGCATAGGAGATATTACAACCAAAGTTAAAAATCAATAAGCATAGGAGAAATTACTAAGAATGTTCCCATCATTTGTTTCCTGAATTGTAAAAAATGTGTAACATTTATGATACTTGTACTTGTGTTTATTTTAACAAACAATGCAGAATACTGCTGCAAAAGTAAACAATTCACAAAATGTTTCCATTTTGAATTTTATGTACCAACTGATGGAAAAATGCAATCCCTTAAACAACAATCAATAACCACCTCAACGGAGATCAGTGAACACACATACATTTGCTCCATTTCTTTGTTTATGTTTACGAGTGAACAAGATAAAAGCAATTCGCCTTCAGAAGGCTTTGCTTGTTTCACTTCCACAAACAAAGCTGCAGGTATCAGCCACGTGTTTTAACAGTTAATGTTTCTCAGTTAGAACAACCGAATTGGGGAATAAGTAAGTTTCATACAACACATTTCTACCCATCGCTGCTGCCAGAGGGCGATCGTGGTGTTAGTAACGACTTGTTCTACAACTGCAGTATTTACGTAAGGGATTGAGTTCTGGGGAATGCAGGGAAGGGAGTTTAATTGGAAAGGTCAGAATAGCTTCGAAGTTGTTCTCGTGTACCGACAGACCCGCGGTTCAATGTGTAGCCATTTAAGTCTGTGAACAGAGCAGACGAGTGTTTTACAGGACAAAGTAAAACTTCACACGGGGAGAGGGGGGGACAACCTATAGAAAACTTGTGCAACAACAGCTTAAAACAGTAAATAAGAACGGCAACTTCATACTAAGTTGTCTGAAAGAAAGACCTCGTCCAGAAAGCAGCACCACTCCCCTCCCCCCCCCGCCGCCGCCCCCCCCATTCGTTCATGCACATGTGTCCCCGGGAGAGTCCGGGGCCCTCTCCTGCACATCGGCGCTGCCAATCACTGAGGATTTCTGCAACATTTTGCACGTGGCTCTGATACAGTGACCAGAGAGAGAGAGAGAGAGAGGAGTGAAAAATCACAGCCACGAAAGTGTGGAGCGATTCCCTCTCTGTGGATAGTTCCAACCGGTCTTTTTGTGTCCCTCCTCTGTAACTTTAGGGAAGAGAGAGAGAGAGAGAGTTGGAGGAGAGCGCCGCCCTCCCTCCCTCCCTCCCTCCCCAGTGCTGTGAGGAACTCCCGCCCTGCGCTGAGTGCTGAGTGGCTCTGACAGGGACGGGGGTGAGGATGGCGGCGCGGTGACGGGCGCAGATCCCCGTCAATCACAGAGGGGTCCCCGGTGCCCGGTGCCCGGGGTGGTGGGGGGGGGTTTGTCCGCTCTCCCAGACTCAACGAGAGAAAGGAGAGTGTCAGTGAGTTGTGCTGTCACACAGCCTCAGCCACAGCGCTGTTTATTTGAAGTATTCTTTTTTTTAAAAAAAATATGCAATTGCTACTTTGCACAGTTTTTTTTGTTGGTTTTTCTTTAAAAAAGACTAGTGGTAGATATCATTTGCAAATGTAAGTTTTGCACTGGCACGTGGACCTGAGTTCCCCTCCTCTCCCTCTCTCTCTCCCTCTCTCTCTCACTCCCTCCCTCCTCTCTCTCACTCCCTCCCTCCCTCCCCACCTCCTTTTGCAGCACAGCCTGGAGTTGCGCTCCGCTCGCTGTTCGCTTCTTGTGGTGACTTGACAGCTGGAGGCGGGCGGGCAGGGACCAGGGAGGGCAGGGACAGGGCAGGGAGGGCAGAGCAGGGAGGGCAGGGACAGGGCAGGGAGGGAGGGCAGGGACAGGGCAGGACAGGGAGGGGAGGGCAGAGCAGGGAGGGGAGGGGAGGGCAGGGCAGGGAGGGCGGAGCAGGCAGGGAGGGCAGAACAGGGAGGGGAGGGCAGAGCAGGGGAGAGCAGGGCAGGGAGGGCAGAGCAGGGCAGTGAGGGCAGGACAGGGGCAGAGCAGGGCAGGGAGGGCAGAGCAGGGCAGGCAGAGCAGGGCAGGGAGGGCAGGGCAGGCAGGGAGGGCAGAGCAGGCAGGGAGGGGAGGGCAGGGGCAGGGAGGCAGAGCAGGCAGGGAGGGAGGGCAGAGCAGGCAGGGAGGGGAGGGCAGGGGCAGGGAGGGCAGAGCAGGGCAGGGAGAGCAGGACAGAGCAGGCAGGGCAGGGAGGGCAGAGCAGGGAGGGCAGGGCAGGGAGGGCAGGGCAGAGCAGGCAGGGAGGGCAGAGCAGGGCAGGGCAGGGAGGGCAGGACAGGGGCAGAGCAGGGCAGGGAGGGCAGAGCAGGGCAGGGAGGGAGGGCAGGTATGGGAGAGGGAGAGGGAGCCTCGCCTGGCAGCGCGGCTGTGGTAAGACTTTCCTGAGAGGATCTTACAAGGCGTTATTGGCTTTTTTTTTCACAGTCTTTTTTGGGGGCGGTTTTCTTCTCTATTTTTTTTCATTGTATATCTATATATCGTTTTAATTGATGCACAAAATGGCGGAAGGTCCGAAAGTGAATGAACTCTCCGGCGTCTCCGAGTTTTCTGCCAACAACGCCGGAGAGCAAAAGGAGAGGGGCGGCGGCGGCGGCGGCGGTGGGTCCCTCGAGGTGACGGCGGGAGTGAGCGCGGCGGCGGCGGCGGCGGCGGCGGCCACGGCGGGGAGTCACAGGGCGCTCTCCGGCAGCTTCCTGACCGAGGACAGCGAGGCGGCGCTCACCGAGGCTTCCAGGTCCACGGGTCGTAGGAGCAGCATCATCAAGGTACCCCTCCCCCAACCCTCCCCCCCCGGGGGGGTCTGCACCAGGGGTCTGTGTGTGTGGGGGGGGTCTGTGTCAGGGGTCTGTGTGTGGGGGGGGTCTGTGTCAGGGGTCTGTGTGGGGGGGGGGGGGGTCTGTGTCAGGGGTCTGTGTGGGGGGGGGTCTGCGTCAGGGGTCTGTGTGGGGGGGGGTCTGTGTGTGGGGGGGGGGTGGGTCTGCACCAGGGGTCTGTGTGGGGGGGGTCTGCGTCAGGGGTCTGTGTGGGGGGGGGGTCTGCACCAGGGGTCTGTGTGGGGGGTCTGTGTCAGGGGTCTGTGTGGGGGGGGTCTGTGTCAGTGGTCTGTGTGGGGGGGTCTGTGTCAGGGTCTGTGTGGGTGGGGGGTCTGCACCAGGGGTCTGTGTGGGGGGGGGTCTGTGTCAGGGGTCTGTGTGTGTGTGGTGGGGGGGGGGGGGTCTGAGTGTGTGTGTGGGGGGGTCTGTGTGTGTGTGGGGGGGTCTGTGTGTGTGTGGGGGTGGGTCAGTGTGTGTGTGGGGGTGGGTCAGTGTGTGTGGGGGGGGTCTGTGTGTGTGTGGGGGGGGTCTGTGTGTGTGGGGGGGGGGTCTGTGTGTGTGTGTGGGGGGTCTGTGTGTGTGTGGGGGGGGGGGTCTGTGTGTGTGTGTGGTGGGGGGGGGGTCTGTGTGTGTGTGTGGGGGGGGGGTCTGTGTGTGTGGGGGTGGGGGTGTGTGTGTGGGGGGGGGGTCTGTGTGTGTGTGGGGGGGGGTCTGTGTGTGTGTGTGTGTGTGGGGGGGGGGGTCTGTGTGTGTGTGTGATGGGGGAATGATCTCATGTGAAAGTTTTCCAGGTATTTTGCTGCACTGCACGTACTGTATTTCTTTGAATGAACTCTCTCTCTCTCTCTCTCTCCGCCTCTCTCTCTCTCTCTCTCTCCCCAGTGAGTAGCTTTCCCACAGACTGTGGGTAACACTGGCAGATGACTCGCGTCGGGGGTGGGAGGGGGGGAGGGGGGTGGGAGGGGGGCATCTAGTTTTAGCGCCCGGTGGAGGGTGGGGAATGGGGGAGAAAGTGGTGCCTTACGTTATTTTTCCTTTCGTCTCCGGGCGAGTTACCAGGTTGTTTGGGTTGTGATGGAGGGATCCCGTACAATACCACACGGGTGTCTGTCTGTGTGTGTGTGTGTCTGTGTGTCTGTCTGTCTGTATCCCATCGTGATGGTGGTGCAGTGAGTCAGGAGCACCGTCACAGCCTTCCTTTGCTGCAGTGACTTAAACTTCACAAACCCCAACCAGAAATGGATTTGAACCTAAACCCCCAGACATGTGTGCACTGTCCGGTTTACATCGCGTCCGTGCTGTAATAATAATAACAATAATAATAATCCTCGCATTTGATACAGCGCTTTTCACGTCGGGAGGACGTCCCAAAGCGCTTCACGGAACGCGCTGTAAAGTGAATTGACTGTATATTTGTGGGCGAACGCGGCAGCCAATTGCGCACAGCAATGTCCCACAAACAGTCGTAGATTGAAAATGACCAATTTATTATTGTTTTGGTTTTTTTTGGAGGGATTATTATTAGGTGTGTGGAGTAAGGAAACTTGCCCAAGGATTCGCCCTCTGCCTGGGATTGAACTCAGGTCTCTCACTTGCAAAGCGAGTGCTCTAATCACTGAGCCACAGGACTGTACTACTTGTACTACACTATCCGCACCTCCATGTATGTGTACACTGCAGTGCCCTATGTCCAGATGACTTACAAGGTGCATCGTGGCAGTGCAGGAAGTTACTCCGAGGTGCAGGTGACATTTGGCAAAGCTGATAGCCACTCTTGGCCATCTGAGCAACGGTGAGATAAAGGAGCAACTCATCTATTTTGTTGATCTTGGATGAGAGGAACTTTGGCCAGAATACCAGAGGAATGACTCGCTTCCCTCCCTCCTTCCCTCCCTCCCCCCCCCCCACCACCCCACCCCCCCAAAAAAAAGTGCCATACCATTTTTAATCTTCATCTGAATCCCGAAACAGAGCGGATCTCTTCATAGTGCTGAAATCCGCAACCTTTATATTCTGAAAGCAAGCGTTCCCTCGACTGAGCAGTTTGAAAAATGTCAAGTTATATTGCTTGTTTTATGGCAAAGAGCAAGTCTGTTAAAAGTTTCTTGTGAACTTTAGCTTCGGTGCGACTGTTTCCATTTTGAAATTCTGTTTCAAATCAAATATTTTGTGAGCTGAAACTGTCCTGTCATTCTGGCCTGACAAAGAGCGTCAGAAAATTTTCTGTTCACATCCTTTGAGAGAGGTTCGGTGACCAAAGTTGGATGTCGTAATGTTTTTATGGTTCACGCATAGATTTAATATTAAATATTTTATCTATTTCAAACAACGTGTAACAGTGATACTCAGGAAACTACATGTTTTTCTCCTTTGAAATCGAAGTGTCCACTGATAATCTTGCATCTCGATTATTCCAATGGCCTCGGCGACAGTCTCTCCAGCTCCACTATCCACAAAATTCGACTAATTCAAAACGCTGCACCCATACACTCACCTGCTCTAAACTCCGTACCCCCCTCATCAGTCATAGCCAGGCTCCACTGGCTCTTTATTACAGGACGGATCGACTTCAAGCTCGTCAAACTCGCCTAGAAAATTAATTCATGCCCTGGCGCCTCCCTATCTCTCCAAGCTGTTTGCTTCCCACTCAACCACCCGCCACCTCCACTTGGCTGGCTCCAGCCCCTTGTTTGTCCCTTATTCTCTCCACTATCGGCGGCCATGCTTTCAGCCACTACCACTGAAACTTTGGAACTGTCCCTCAATCCCTCCGCATTGCCCCCTCCTTCCCCCATTTCAGATCGGGCCTGAAGTACTTCTCTTCAACCGTGCTTACGGTCACCTCCTTCCTTCCCCCAGCTCGGCGTCAGGTGCAGCCACAAGACGCTACCCGACGTGAAGGGGGCTATATAAATGGAAGTTGTTGTGGTTGCATCTGAAAACTTGTATATTGACTGGGTAACTCTATGCAGATTAAATCTGAGGTAGGACTGCTGGCATGTGCTGATTCTATTAAATAGGTCTGCAGGTGTTTAACTGCTTACAATAGCTAACATTATCCAGGCCAGTAGCAAATAATTGATTTCACATTGTTTTGAGTTATGCTCCATCAACCTTTGTTCTACAAGTGATGGTTAACACTTAGACTGCCGATTTCTTCAGAGAATTCTGTGTTTCAAGATTTCAGCTAGTGTTCAATGATATAACACAATCCACATTTATGTAGCACCTTTCATGTTGTGACGATGTCTTAACAGTGGCTGTGCACCCGAGCTGGGAGTGAAATGATGCTGAAATGAACACTAATCGCTGCAATAAAGCGTCCCTGATTAGTTTTAATTGCGATACTTAACAACAAAAACAACAACATTTATGTAGCGCCCCTCTCGTTGCGTCTCAAAGCGCTTGACATTGGCGGAAGGTGACACTGAGCTCCAATTACTAAATTAATTTACTGAAGTAAACACAATTTTACCAACCCTGCTTCCCCCTCCCCCCATTCTCTTCTAGTTTCTAACATTTTCATTTTTTTGTAATTTTAGGTTTGATGTTTATTTAATCTTTGAATCCCTGTAGAAGGAATGAATGGGCAGCATTATGTCAGCCCTCTCGGTGGTGTTGACTTGGTGTTCTGAATGCTGTATGTCCAGTTCTGTCTATTAAGTCTCTTTCGCGATTCAATTTCTGATTGACTTTCCATGGATTGTTAACTACTTTGCAGTAAATTGCAACATCAGCTAAGAGATCAGTGGAGACAATGAGAGTGACTTGAATAAGCAAGTGAGCTTTCCTAAGGGATCCCTGGATATGTGTTTCAGGGACCTATTTAATCAGTATTTTCTGAGGAAATCCTATATCTAGTTCAGTCACTCCATCTTTGTAAATCTCCCCTGAAACTTCATCATATATAAAGAGTGTAATATCAATGCAGGTTGATGCTGTCAAATATACCTAAAAATGGTGCTGAATAGCCATATCATATCAAAGCGTTTTGAAATATTTGGGAGTATTACTGACTTTCTGATGAAAGAAAATTGCATTATTTTTGGCAATGAGATTAAAAGATGAGCAACTAGCCCTGAAGCCAAATTGGTGACAACGTGGTAGATTATTGTGATTAAGTTCTAACTTGGAAAGTGGTTCTGATAAGATCCTGATACTACTTAAAATAGGATTGCTGGTGCTTAGTGACTGGAGTTTTTGACTTATTTTTAGTGGGTAAGCAGCTTGGTATACTCTCAAAAGGGGAAACACCAGTTGATGGGAAGAGTATATACAGTATTACACAGAGAAGCATATATGCAGTGCATTCAATAAAGCATTGAAAACCCAGAGAACTGTGGTGCTGGGTCCAGTAGTTTGTGTGGGATCAAACTTTTAAAAATGTAATTAACTTTCTTGCACCTGATGTTTACTGGGTTCCCTCAGTGACTGAAACCAGCAAAACTTCTATTATGTTGTTTTCTATATTATATTAATAGTTTGGGTTTTCAGGGAACTGTCAGAAATTGTACGTAAGATGCCATGAATTATTTAAAAGTTCACATTTCTCTTGGCATCCTTCAGGATGTGTACTTTTGATATTGAGAGCTTGCATTGTATTTTAAACTTGGGAGGAGGAAGAAAGAAGTTAAGCAACTAGTAGGCGTAGAGAAACATCAGAATGCTATGTGTAAGCCTTTTTAAAGTGAGAATTATAATATCTGGTAGATCATCATTTGTTTAAAAAATGAAGTATTTTCTTTCCATGAATTATGACTGAAATATTGCAGTAGTTTTGAGAAGAGGCAAATACGTTTTGACGGATCGCTTACTGTAGTCAATATTGTATGGTGGCTGTTTTTTAACAACCATGGGCTCATGTATATTTATTAAGCAAATCACTTTTGTGTAAAATGATCAGAGTTCAAGTTTGATTTTCACCTGATTGTGAACTTGGAATTAAGTAAAAT